GGTAATTTGGATCATTCTTCTTTGCAGAGAATTTCTACTATTTTTTTATTTTTTTATTTTTTGACAGAAAGTCACATTTTCTAGTTGTTATAAATTTTCATCTTCTTCATACTAGATTACTTGCATTCTTGCTACAAATTCGCAAACAGGTTTTGGACTTAGCAGCAGATAGGTTAGAAATAATGTCTTCTTTCCGTAGCTTCAGATCTTGATTCTTCACTACTGGTTCTCTGATGGGTTCCATGGCCCTTTGTCTGACCTCAAACAACCTCCATGTTCAGTACAAGTACAGCTACCGCCTTTCATCAACGACTTCAAACAGTTTGCGTTGGTAACAGTTACCAAGAACATGACCATCCTCCAACAAAACAGAAGCTCCAAAATCACTTCTTGACCTGCTTTTATTCTTAAGAGAATTCCTCATTTCATAGGCCTTCATCTTCAACATCCCAATTCTATTCTTCCTTTCCTCCTCTGAGATCTCAAACTCTGATTCCTTTTCATTTCTTCCATCACTGCCATGTGATCGATCGAGCGCATCAGGCATTGCCATTCTGAGTCGAAAGATCCGCCGCCGCAGCGTCGCCGATCTATAAACGCTTCGAAAAAAAAAACTTCACTCCGTGATGATGGGAGTATTAGTCGCAGGGAAGAAGGAAGCAGTGGTGAGAGGAAAGGAGGATGAGTTTTGGTCCTCATTTTTATTAGATTAACTCTGCACTTTTTTTGAAAAAAAAAAAGAGGTAGGTATACAACACTTCCAGGCCCCATTTGGATCTGAAAATTTTGTTCCTAGGAGCTTTACGTGGAAAGATGAGAAAGAAAGAAAAATTTTAATAAATAACATAAATGAAATTACATTTTTGTCCTTAGATTTAACGGTATATGGATAGAATTTTAACAAAGGACTAAAATGGTTAACATTTTCAAAGTCAAGAACTTAATTGAGTAAAAAATATTGTCAAGAATCAAATTGATAATTTCGCAATAGTCGAGGGATCATTTTGGTAACAAACTCTATTAAAAATGAATATTTATTCGTGTTTCACATTTGCCAGCAAATTAGGTATGTGTAATGTCCAATAAATAGCTGACATGTGACAAGTGAAGATTAACAAACAGATAACAATTTTAACCTAATTCAAAATTTTGCACGACTAGCCTTTACATATGCGATGCGCAAAGTATCTAATAATGATATTTAATATTTAATATTAAAATAATTTAAAATTAATAAATAAATAAATAAATAATACAAGCCGTATAGTCTATAAAGTATTATAATAATTAATTATTGACGAAATTTTTATGTTTATAATCAAAAGCATCAATATCTCATTAATTCAAATGTTGGGATTCACAAACCTGCAATGTCCAAATACTTTGCAGGAGGTTTGTTTTTCTTCTCTCTTCATATTATCATTCCTCCATGTCATCTTATTTTTCTTAAAATTCGTGTAAAAACTTGTGAAACTCTACTATGTAGATGCTCTAAATATGCTAACCAATCACTAATTAAAAATAATAATAATAAACCAATCAAATTATGTCAAGTCAATGAAAAAAATGTATGAAAAATAAATTAAAGGGTGTATAGCATGACTCATAGAGAAAATAGTGAATGATTTACAAATTTAATAATGAGAAGAAGGATCCACTTTTAATGATAAAAGTAACCTCAACATCGAATCCGATTGGGTCAGTGATATATCAATTTCAACAATTTTTTCTTTCTCAACCTACTGAAACACAAAGAACCAATAACACATCCACCTAAGACTCGAACTCATAATCTTTCAAATGGAAATCCAACCCGGTACCATTGGACCACATAGTCCTGGTATATCAATTTCAATATAGGTTATATTGAAGTAAATAGTTGAGAAAAAAAGTATATAGATGATGATTAGTTAAGGACTAAAGAAAGTAAGAAGCAAAAAAAGAGTTAATTACCGAAATGGTCCCTTGACTATAGTGAAATTACCAATTTGGTCCTTGACTATTTTTTTTGACCAATTAAGTCCCTCAATTTTAAAAATCTTAACCAATTTGGCCTCCGTTTGTTTGACCGTTAGTCAACCGTTAACTTGGGACCAAATTGGTAATTCGCTATAGTCAAGGGATCATTTTGGTAATTAACTTTAAGGGTCGGCGATTCGGTTCAGTTTTCTCGAACCGAACCGTACCAAACTAGTTAGATTCGGTAATATACCGAACAACCGAACGGTAATAGATTCTTGTATATCGAACGGTTCGGTAAAAACTCGAATCGAACTAAATTGTTCGGTAAAAACTTAACCGAACCAAATACCATTTGAACTTTGGATTGCTATTTTGTTATATATTAGACTTTGGATATGGACTATGTAAACATCATAATACATAATATAGAACTTTTGATAACAAACCATAAAAAAATCAAATAAAACATTTACGAGAGATACCCGTGAGAATATGAGCTGAACGGCAGAGCAAGCAACAAGTGACTTGGATTTATTATTTATTTATTTTTATTTTATTATTATTATTATTATTATTATTATTATTATATTTAAAAAAAATCAAACGATATTTGATTCAGTTCAATTTTGTACCGAACAATTCAGATCGGATCGGATCGGGTTCTTTATCGAACCGTTCGGTATACAAGAATCCAATATCGTTCGGTATATTACTTCGATTCGGTTCAGTCGATTCGAGAAAACTAAACCGAATTACCCACCCCTAAAGTTAATTACCAAAATGGTCCCTTGACTATAGCGAAATTACCAATTTGGTCCCAAGTTAACGGTTGACTGACGGTCAAACTAACGGAGGACCAAATTGGTTAAAATTTTTAAAGTTGAGGGACTTAATTGGTTAAAAAAAGTAGTCAAGAACCAAATTAATAATTTTGCTATAATCAAGGGACCATTTTGGTAATTAACTCCCAAAAAAACTATAAACTCGGTTAACTTCGCACATTCTTTCTTATGCCTCTAGTTAGTCGTTAGACACAATATGTTGTTCCCTTAAACTCAAAGGGCAAATCCAATTAACACCAATATATTCCATAAAACTACACTCATCATCTAAGGTTCAAAAAAAAATTAAAGCATGGGTTCAACTCAACTAAAATTTAAACTAATAGTTCTGTATATTATATGCTCACACAACCCAAGGTGGTAGCTCAGATAGTAAATGAACTCTCTTCGTGGGAGAGAATTTTGAAATATAACTCAAGTTCGATTCTTCCCCCCGGCCAGCTCCCAACCTCTCAAAGCGAACAAAAATTAATCAGGTAGACCTGGACAACCATTTCAAGGGCTGAAAGCTCCAAGTAACACATAAAACGTACGTAGTAATATTCAAACCCAAGATTCACTATGTACCAAATTAAAACATGTATTCCATCTTAATTAAAAACCAAAGTTTATATTTAAATTACAAAAATAATCAGTACCCCTATATTTACCACTCAAAAACTTGTCACTCTCAAATATGACAAGTTTTAATTGATTTAATTTTCCTTTTTTTCCCTTTTTATTTCATATCTTACCAATTAAAACTTACCACATTAGCTAATGACAAGTTTGTGAGGGATAATATAGGGACACTAAGCATAGTCCTTTACATTATATGCTCAACATAAAATTCAGTTTCATATATATTTTACTACAGAATCATCTAGCCACACAGAAGGTGACATAAGCCTTGTTTAATAACATAGTAACTTACTAGCACTATTAACTGTTTAACTTAATTAAATAGCTAATATGAATGTTTGGTTAATCAGCTTTTTTAGAAAATAAATTTTACATATAATCAGCTATCAACTACCAATTAATTTACCAAACATCTTTTCACAACCAGCTAATCAAATAGTTACACCCACTAACCCAATTCGCTAACAGCTATTTGCAGAACACCCCCACAATAATTAGACAAGGAAACTCAGAATCAAAAAAGAACATGTAATTATGTAAACCAATAAAACTGGGATTAAAGACAACAGTTTAGGCAATACAAGAGAAATTCCAGTAAGACAAGTAACTTACTATCACAGAGATTAAGAGCTGCTGACAAAAAATCTTTAACAAATCTTCAGATTCAAACTAATGTATGAACACATATGGGAGAAAATACCGACTAAAAGCAGTGATGCAACTTAGAAATGCTAAGCACAGAAAATACTCCAACTGAGAAATGCAATAGAAGCCCAGTTAGTAGGGCTGAAACAACAGGAAGATGAAAATGTAGGGCTGGCAATGGATCCAAGGTTAAAACCAATAATAACATCAATGCATAACTTCACTCGTAAACAAAAGGAAAATACAAGTACTCATTTTCTACCACAATGAAATAGCATATTCTTGTTTGCCACATCAGAAAGTAAAAGGGACCGAGTAGAATTTGTATGCATACATAGTAGAACTACAAACAATATCTCATTCATGTTGCATTGTATAAAACAATAAAGCTTTCTTTGTCCAGGCCTAGTATGCAGTAAGGGCTTAGTCATAGTTCCATGAACAACTGCAATAATCACTGTCCCTTTAATTATAGGTCCATCACAGTAAAAACACCTTCCCATTTATCCAAAGACACATAGCTGCAAAAGAAAGATTAACAAAACTAAATTTGACCTAAACCCAACAGAAAAACAAGAATAGGATCACAAAAATGAGACAGACTTCAGCATAAATTAACAAAACAAAAACTTCAGCATAAATTAACAAAACAATGTTTTCAGATAAACCATTCATTTTGACATCACATAGACACACTAATCAACACTGTGATCACAAAAACAACCAAAATACTGCAAACTACAGCAAAAAATGACAAATTTAAGTCCAATTCCAAACTTTAATAATAGCAAATGAATCAAATTCATTTTTCAACAGGCCTTCAATTGCCGTAGACCAATAGAATAGCAATAAAACCTGCAACCAACACTTTCATAGCAATAATAATAATAATAACAATCCAACAAATCAAAACTGGGCCACTTCAAAACATAATGAAACGCAATAGTAATAGCAGTAATATCTCAGAACAATTTATATAAAACTCAAATATCCAAAAATCCAGTCACTATTAATAAATCAGTGAAAATAAAACAAACAGAAATAAACCTAAGCCGTGAGCACGACGGCACCACCAGCCTCCTTGATCTTCTTCTCAGCAATCTTGGAGATGAGCTTGGCCTTGACCACCACGGGCTGCGACGGCGGCAAGACACCCTTACCCAGGACCTTAAAGTACCCGAACTGGGTGACGTCGATCAGAGGGGCGGAGTCCTTGTTCTTGGCCGCCTTTTCTTGAACTTCCGGCGGGAGCAGAGACCAGATCTTGTCAATGTTCACGGTGGGGCAAAAGAACTTGTTCCTCAGCTTGTGGAAATAGCGCATACCCACCTTCCCGAAGTAACCAGGATGGTATTTGTCGAAGAGGATGCGGTGGTGGTGCATGCCTCCGGCGTTACCGCGACCTCCAGGGTGCTTCCTGTGCTTGCCGATACGGCCGTGCCCGGCGCTCACGTGACCGCGCTTCTTCCTGTTCTTCTTAAAGCGGGTCGTCATTTCTGGATCTCCGGAGCTTCGAGCAGACGGGGAAAGGGGAAGGGAACGGCGGAGGAAGAAAGAGACTGGCTAGGGTTTTGACAAATTTATAGAGAGGGGAATTGAGGGTTTTGCGATGATTGCGTCCAATTACGTTTATGTCCTCAGTAACCCTTAAAAACTACCACTAGAATATGCCAGTGCCGCTGCCACCAATGTACAAATATGAAATATACAAAGTAAGAGTTAATTTCTTGATCTTGACTAGTGAGATCTTATTAATTTTAATTTATAACTTTTAAAATTGTAAATTTATTATTTTAACTATTTAGTTTTTATCAATTTTGGTCATTCTGATTAAAACTCACCAAAAAAAATTAATAAGTAAAATAAAGAGAGTATTTTAGTAGTGTAATTGTTTGTTGAAATGAATGGGTTCATATTATTTTTTTTTTATTTTTCTTACTCTATTCTCTATTATATCATTTATTACTTTTCTTAAATACCTTACAATTCGTAAGTGTAAATTTTAGTAACGGATTATTCCGTTAATTATTTATTATTCTTAACTTACTCATTAATTTTCATAAAGAAGATCTTATGTTCAAATCTCATCCCAATCAAAATTGACATAATTGTTAAACATATACTGAAAATTCAAGACACTAAAATCACAGTGAATCACCGGAAAAATTATAATGAGATCCCTAACATGTATCACCAAGACGTTGGGGATACATGTTAGTGATCTCATGCCCGCATGGGTAGCTCAGGTCATAGAGGTGAAACTTTGGAATAATGACCAGGGATCGAGTCTCACCAGCGGTAGTGTGGAAGCAACCTCTCGAAGTGAGGGGGGCTCCTTGTGCGCAGTGAGCACCGGTCTAGCCTCTATGGTTCATGTTCAGTTGAGTCACCATGATTTACATCCTCCCAAAATGCTCTGCCGGGCCGGGGTGTGGGGGGCCCTTAAGGTTGAGGTTCAGCCTTTTGGAATAATGTTAGTGATCTCATTATAATTTTCTTGGTGGTTCATTGCAATTTTAGTGTTTTGGTGTAGTGCACCTTGTAGATGTAGATGTAGATATCGTTTTAGATCAGTGTCCACAATATAATATACCTAAAATAATTGATTGGAATACATCCTTAATAAATAGGATAGGAATCACATGATGTCTTGGATTGAAACACTAATAAAATTCTATAATTTTTCTCTCCGTAGATAATCTTTATACGGAGTTCGAAGAAAAATGTGTTGAAATTAAATGAAATTATAAAATTGAAAAAAATATATTTTAGGGAAAAAAATTGGAGTTATTAGATTCAACTCCAAAAAAAAAAATGGAAGTACTGCAACTAAACAATTTTATATTTTATATACAAATAAATATGAGTTAATTACTGTTTTGGTCCCTCGATTATGGCAAAAGTACCAAATTGGTACTTGAAAGAGACGGCAAATTAACAACCAAACTAACGGATGACCAAATCGGATACAAAATCAATAGTTGAGGACTTAATTTGCCAAAATTGATAGTCATGACCAATTTGGTACTTTCACCATAGTCGAGGGACCAAAACGGTAATTAATTCTACTATTTATTTAGACTAAGTATTCAGACGAGCGATATTACAAATTTGCAAACATTTATTTTAATGACAATTATAATCAATTTCTCCTATATTATCTTGCATTCATATATTTTGAATTGTCGATTTAAATATATTTTAATTACTTGCAAGGGGGTTCCTTGTGGTGCACTTTTATACATGCTCGTTATTCTGAGGGATTATCCAGGACTTCTGATTTGCTTACTTGGAGACGCATGCAACGGGTGTAGGATTTCGTTGAGGATATTGTCACCCATGCAGCAGGTGATCTTGTTTGGACGCTATCCCCTTTTGGTAACTTCTCTTTTTTCTTCGACTTATGGCTCTCTCCGACCAAGAGCGGGGCTCAAATCTGATTGCATTGGGGGGGGGGGGGGGGGGGGGATACCTGCTACGGTGTCAATTTTCATGCGTAAGCTGTTGAGGATGCTGTTTTCGTTCCCTGGTGTTATTGAGCACTTTGGTTTTTGTCTGCCTTCAATTTATCCATTCTGTCTTAGTGTGAGTGCGAGCTTAGAGCACTGTCTCCTGCATTGCTGCCGCATTCAGGGGGTCTAGAATCACTTCGGCAGGATTTTTGGTTTGTTTTTGTGAAATGCTAGCTCTATTCGGGCTGTGTGTCACGCCTGGTGGCTTATTTCTGCTTCTGGCTCTACAGTTGGCTGTTCGGCGCGTTTAATGCCCTGCCTGGTGTTTTGGTTTTTATGAGTTGCATATAATAAATGCCTCTACGATGGAATTTCCTTCTCTTCTCCATGAATAATTAAAAGGATCAAGCGTGAATCCTTGCTCACCTCCTTCTCTCCGTCTGTTCGCTGCCGGGGTGCATTAGACTCCTTTATTCTTTTTGAAGGTTTGATTGTCAAGTTTGTTGCACCGCCTCGGAAGGCAACGATTTGGGTCAAATGGTTTGCGTCGCCATCAGGAAGATTAAAGCTAAATACGGATTCTCTATTCTCAACCAATGGCGCGACGGGCGAGGCTTGCCTCAGGGACTCTCGTGGACAGATTGTTGTTGGGCTCTGTTTTTGTCAGTCAGCTTCCTCGGCTCTTGAGGCCGAAGCCTTAGATTTGCATTATGCTCTTCAATGGTGTGATACAATGGTTATGTTGCCTTCTTTTGTTGAAGTTGATTCTCTCACTCTCACTCATATTGTTTCCTCTAGGACGGCGAGGATTCCGTTAAAGATTAAGGAATCTATTCTCTTCATTCGCTCATGCCTCTCGTCGTGGGGTTCTTCGATAAGGCATGTTTATTGGGAGGCTAAACAGGTTGTCGATGCTCTTGGGACGATGGGTCTTAGTGTTAACTCGCCCTCTATTTTTTGTTCTCTTAATTCTTTGCCCGTAAAGGCCAAACTGGCTCTTTTGTATGATCTTCGGGGCTTCGCCACCTATCGGGCTATTTGTTGTTAATAATATTAATCGTTTTTCTTTAAAAAGTTTATCGATTTAAATAAACAAATTCAACATTCAATTACCTATATATCTCTTATATAATCTTGCATTGATATACTTTGAAGTACTTATTTAAAAATAAACGTTTGACATTATCTCATTCGTGCAATTATATTATACATAAAATTCATATTTGTTATTCATAGTTGGTTCCCATAATGGCATGGTGATGGACAATAAATAGCCAAGAGTACAATGAAGGGAGCATTATGCTATGGACCCGTGTCCACCATGTGCATGGTGGACACGCTGTACCAACTCATAATTTCTATACTGTAGATTCATAATTTCTATATTGTAGATTCATAAAATTTATAATGTAGATTCATAATTTCTATACTGCACATTCATAATTTATGTACTGTAGATTCATAATTTATATACTGCACATTCTGTATTATAGATTCATAATTTCTATACTGTAGATTCATAAAATTTATAATGTAGATTCATACAGTACATAAATTATGAATGTGCAATATAGAAATTATGGATCTACAGTTTAGAAATTATGAATCTACAGTATAGAAATTTGTACAAAATAAAAATTATGAATGTACAGTATGTCTATCATGTGCATGGTGGACAAGGGTCCATAGCATAATTTGCCACATGGAAGGCACATGATTTATCTTCGAAATTAAGCACTCTTCTTGGGTAAATTATTGTGTGGACCATGGTCCACACAGTGTTATGTGGATCATAAAAAATGTACATTTTTAGTATACTAAATGTACATTATTTTTATATTGAATGTACATTATACAATATAATATATACTCAGTACAAAAATAATGTACATCCCCTAAATACAATATACATAATTTTTATACTGAATGCACATTATTTTACAGTATACAAAATATGGTCTACACAACTTATATGGACCATGGTCCATACAATAGTGATTGCTCTTCTTGGACCTTTCTTGCACTTCGTGGACCCTAAGGCCTAAACCCATTAAAAGTCCTTTTTCGCTCCTTTCTTGGTCACCTAGAGCTCCAAATTATTTTTCTTTCCAGCCCAGTTATACATAATTAAATATGACATCATAATTCAATTTGGGCTCAAATTCTAATTATACATTGACAGTCACTTTTAATATATTACAAATAGTGAAAATTGTAATTTATATCTTTCTATAATATGTCAATTATCAATGTCACTCCTGAATTATTAGTAGTGTAAATGTTACCCTTCAATTTTCAAAACGATACATATATTGTCCATCCCAAGTGTAAATGTTGCCCCTCAATTTTCAAAACGGTACATACTGTCCATTCCGTACGGTACGGGAGGGGCAATATATGTACTATTTTAAAAATTGAGGGGCAACATTTACACCACTAATAATTCAGAGGTGATATTGATAATTAACATATTATGGAGGGGGATAAATTACAATTTTCTCTTACAAATAAATCTTCAGATTAGTAGTTTACCTTGGTCATATAATTAATGATATATCAATTGTACATATTTAAATATGACATCACAACTCAAATTTTTTTTTTTTGGGAAGAAAAGGGGGTTACCCAAATATACTAATCAATCACAGGTGGTGCTCAGATCGAACGCACCCTCCATTCTCATGAGATCACGAACCACCATCGGTGGATAAATGAAATCCATCCACTCGTAGTGCTCCCTCGGCGCAACTTTTGCTAACTCGTCCGCAACCCTGTTTCTCTCTCGGGGGATATGCTCAACGGTGACTGTCCAGTCCTTCCCTAGCCACTCTTTACACCATTTGACCGGCGTATCGCAATGGTCCAGAAGGTCGGGATCCCCGTTTATCCAGTTAACCGCTTGTTGTGAGTCGCTTAGGATATGCACTTTCCTCTCGCCAAGTTCCCAAGCCCACTTGATGCCCAAGTAAATTGCCCACAATTCTGCTTCAACAGCCGAAGTGGTCTTGGTCATGCAACTGAAGCCTCTGATCCAGTGTCCTGCATGGTTACGAAGAACCCTGCCACACCCCGTCATGTGGCTCTCTATTGAGAAAGCTGCATCCGTATAGAGTCTTGAC